AAATTATAATAAAGAAATTGAATTAACCGAAATGAAAACTAATTCTAGTGGGACTTCGTCGATAGACTAGCTGCAAAAAGGAAGATAAGAATGAATTAGAGGAGGAGAGAAGAAGAAGAAAAGCAGAGAAGAGAAAAGGAATTTTGGAAGAGGAAATACCGAATTCAATTATGCCTTCTCTCCTGGTTGTTAGCCTTTATCTGTGTTGGCATCTGAATGGGAAGTCGGTTGGCGTGGCTCGATTAGAGCCGTTGATGTTCATTAATTCCCATCTAGTCTTGGTTGTCGCTTCTATTGAGCTATTTTCTACTCCTACTAACTAATTCTGAAATGCAAATGGTAATGGTTCATGACAATTCACAATTCCTTCCCCTAAAAATAATCCTTGACCTCAAGGATTAAGAATCGAATTCTGAAAATGTTGCTTTAAGGAAATGGTAGTCTTCCCAAGTGGCATCTTCAGTTGGAAGGTTAGACCATTGAACTAACACCTTAACAACATCCATATTGTTCTTCTTGACCATCTGCCTCTGTAGAATAGCTATGGGCTTAACCTGGAACTGACCTTCTTCACCCGTGAGAGGCAGAGTAGTTTGAGCTATAACTTTGTTGCCTTTCTTCTTCTTAAGCAACGACACATGGAACATAGTATGCACCTTTGATTCAGAGGGCAATTAGAGCTTATAAGCTACATTGCCAATCCTAGCAATGATTTTATAAGGGCCATACTTTAGAACATAACTTCAATTTCTTTCTAAAAGCAATAGATGTTTGCCTGTACGACTGTAGTTTCAAGTAGACGATGTCGCCAACCTGAAACTCTTTGTCAGTCCTTCTCTTGTCAGCATATAGTTTCATCCTTTCCTGGGCTTTGCATAGATTATCCTTAAGCAACTGTAGCATCTGTTGCCTCTTCATGATTGCATCTTCAGTACCTGGCACTATAGTCTCAAGTAAAGGGCCAATAGATAGCTGTGGAGGAGAATAATCATAGAGTGCTTCAAAGGGAGTACACTATAATCCTGTGTGGAAGTTTGTGTTGTACCACTACTCTACTGAGGAAAGCCATTATTTCCACTGAGTAGGCCTGCTAACAGACATGCATCTGAGGTAATTCTCAATGCATATGTTCACCCTCTCAGTCTGCCCATCACTCTGAGGATGATAAGGAGTGCTATAATTCAACTGAGTTCCCTATAATTTAAACAATGACTGCCAAAAGCTATTCAAAAAGATCCTATCTCTGTCAGTGACAATGGATTCTGAGGTGCCATGCAGACTGTGGATCCTTTTTCAAAACTTGTCAACTACTGTTGCGGTAGTAAAGGGATGGGTGAGGGCTATGAAGTGAGCATACTTTGACATCCTGTTCACCACCACAAGTATAGCATCCTTGTTCTTGGATTTGGGTAAGCCCTCAATAAAATCTATGCTGACATAGCTCCAAACTTGGTTAGGAATAGGCAGAGGTTGTAAAAGTCCAGGATATGCCACATTCTTCTCTTTGTTTCTGTGACACACATCACAACTAGTAACATGTTGCACCACCATTTGTTTCATTGCTGGCCAGTAGAACATTAAAGCCAACCTCTTAAAGGTTCCCAATTATCCAGAGTGTCCTCCAATAGAAGAGTCATGAAAAGTGGATACTAGATGTTGTCTTAGTCTTCCAGTAGCTCCCACATAGATCTTGCCCTTTCTTCTTAGAACCCTAGATGAGTAGTGCCATATGTTAAGAACATTCAAGTGCACTATGAGTTGAACAATGAGCCCTTGAGCTTGTGCATCATCTACATAGCTAGCTCATATTTTTTGCATCCACATAGGAACTAAGACACTGATAGTTAGCAATTGTCCAGTGCCATGATCTGTGTAATCATCTGGCTTCTCATGCTGCCTAGAGAGTGCATCATCCACTCTGTTCTCAGCGCCCCTCTTGTATTGGACCTCATAATCTAACCCTAGAAATTTAGTCAGTCTTTTTTGTTGAATAGCTGAAGTTACCTTTTGCTCCAAGATGTATTTTAAACTATGGTGATCTATTCTTACCACAAAATGCTTGAATTGTAAATAGTGTCTCGATTTGTCAACTGCATTCAATAAGGCCATGTATTCCTTCTTATATATGGATTTGCCCATGTATTTCTTTGCTAATACCTTGCTGAAATAAGCAATAAGCCTGCCTTCTTGCATTAGGACAGTCCCAATACTACTGTGACTGGCATCAGTCTCAACTATGAATTCCTTATAATACTCAGGTAGTGCTAACACCAAAGTGGAGGTCATGGTTGTATTGAGGGATCAAAATGCCATATCAGCTTCAGTATTCCACTTGAAGGAGTCCTTTTTAGCAGATCAGCGAGAGGCCTGCATATAGTGCCATAATTTGCCACATATTTTCTATAGTAACCTGTTAAACCTAAGAACCCTCTGAGAGCCTTAATTGAATTAGGCCTAGGCCAATCCATCAAAGCTTGAATTTTGGTAGGGTCAGTGGAAACCCCATCATTAGTGATAATATGCCCTAGGTATTCCACCTTATACTGTGCAAAAGAGTACTTTGACCTTTTTGCAAATAAAGAATGTTCCCTCAATATGTCAAACACAGTAGTGAGATGCTGAATGTGCTCATATAGTGATAAGCTGTAAATGTATATGTCATCAAAGAAAACTAGGACAAATTTCCTAATGAAGGGCTGAAAAACCTGATTCATCAATGCTTAGAATGTTGCAGGTGCATTGGTTAACCCAAATAGCATCACCTTGAACTCATAATGGCCAAAGTGAGTTCTGAAAGTAGTCTTGTGCACATCCTCAACCCTCATTCTTATTTGATGATATCCAGTCCTTAGATCCACCTTCGTAAATACCATAGAGCCATAAAGTTCATCTAACAAGTCATCCACAATGGAAATTGGGTACTTGTCTTTAACAGTGATGTCATTTAACCCTCTGTAATCCACACAAAATCTCCAAGTGCCATCTTTCTATTTAACAAGCAAAGCTGGTGATGAAAAAAGAGATTAACTTTGTTGAATTATGCCATTAGTAAGCATTTCCTTTACCTGCTTTTCTAACTCCTCCTTCTGGTAATATTTGTATCTGTAAGGCCTCAAACTAATAGGCATTGTTCTAGGTTTGAGTGAAATTGCATGGTCCAAAGACCCGATAGAAGGCAATGATTAAGGCTTAGCAAAAATATCTAATCTAACACCCTTGTGACAACTTCTACCACTGGTTCTTGATTGCTCACTGAACTTGTGCTCAGCATGAACAACTGAGAAATGATAGCATGACCATTCTTGATCATTCTTCCCAATAAACCACTCGAAATCATGCTCATCCATCCTTCATCGGGGATGCCGTGAAGTGCCAGTTTGTTACCCTTCCTCCCAATGGTGACACACTTGTTTTCATGATCAAATTTGGTTGAGTTATACTTCTTCATCCAATCATTCCCTAAGACAATATCACAACCACCAAGTGGAATGATTAGCAAATCTTCTTGGAAGGACTGGCCCTGCATTTTCCACAAGAACCCTTTGCAGATGAAAATGCACATAACATAGTTACCATCAGCTACAGTAACTCTTACTGAGGGGCAATGGTTGGATTGATAACCGGTCTCTTTGATAATGTTTTCATCGATGAAACTATACGTGCTACCCGAATCTATCAACATAGTCAGGTTCCTATTCTTCACATTTTCCTTGACCAGTATAGAGCTTACTCATGGATTACTACCAGATAGTGCACTCATACATACGGCTTCCTGAACTTCTCGCTCAATTTCCCCTTCTATGACTATCTCAGTTAGTACTTTAGTAGTATCTATACTAGCCTCAATTTCTCTCACCAAGCAATTAAGTTGCTTCTTCTGACACTGATGGCCTGATACATATTTCTCGCCATACCTGCAATATAGGTGATTATTTTTTCTGTACTCATACACTTAAGGGCTAAGCTTAAAGGTATTTGGCCTTACTGTTGTTGGAGTTGGTGTACTTCTGAAAGTGGAAGGGTTACCCAATACAGGAGAATATTTGTAACTGGGTTTGTTTTTCTTTTTGGCTACCTCAATGGCCTTCTCCTGCAACCTTGCTTGTTTGATCGCAAACTTCAGAGTTGTAGGCTTGAATAGCTTTACATCAAATATGATTTCCTCCTTCAAGGCTCCCATAAAGCTGGATAAGAAGTGTGACTCATTCAGCACAGGGTTCTTCACAAGTATTTAGGCCTTTAGATCCTCATATCTTCCCAAAAACTCATTCACAGTACCTGTATGCGTCAACTTATTAAACTCATCCACTATATATTCCAGAAATTCTCCACCAAATCTGCTACACAGTTCTTCCTTGAACTCAACTCAACCTATTACTCCTCAGCTCAATACTAAGGAGTTATACCAATTTTCAGCTAAACCATTCAAGTAAAGCGCATCCGCTTTTACCTTTTGATTATTAGGAGTGCTATATAAGTTAAAATATCTTTCACATTTGCGGATCCATACCTTGGGTTCATAACCTTTGTAACTGGGCAATTCCCATTTAGGAGGGGGTATTGGAACCATTTGGAGCTTGTTTAGCCTCATGTCCCGAGCTAGAATGGGCAGCAGTTCATCTTCTTGTGGTTGGTTACCACCGGCTATGTTTGGTACCCTTTCTAGAAGCGTCAACCTCTCTAGAATAAGTTTTAGAGTTCCTTGAATCCCTGTTTGCGTAGTGCGAAATGCCTGCTGACTATTTAGCACTTCTTCCAATACTTCGTCATGTTGAGTGAGCCTATCATCCACTACCTTAGAACGAGTTCCGTCCACTATTTTGACCATACAGATCGCACGAATCGAAGCTTTGACACCAAATGTCAGAACCTGACTATCAATATAACCAATATCCAGCAAATTAAAGTAAATTGACACGAATGTTTGGGACAATTTCCTGGGTTTATGATTACTATAAATGAAATGACAAAATTACAATATAGAAATTGAATTAACCGAAATGGAAACTAATTCTACTGCGACTTCATCAATAGACCATAGTTGCAAAGAGGAAGATAAGAATGAATTAGAAAAGGAGAGAAGAAGAAGAAGAAAAGTAGAGAAGAGAAAAGGAATTTTGGAGGAGGAAATACTGAATTTATTTATGCCTTCTCTCTCCAGGTTGTTAGCCTTTATCAGTGTTGGCAGCTGAATTGGAAGCCGGTTGACGTGGCTCGATCAGAGCCCTTTATCCTCATTAATTCCTATCTAATCTTGGTTTAGCTATTTTCTACTCCTATTAACTAATTCAGAAATGTAAATGGTAATAGTTCATGACAATAAGAAACAAATTAGACATTATTGTCGGACAAACTATTCCTTGGTGAATCTTTTGATAGTTGATTTGTATTTTTTTTCCAGATAAATAGATATCTATTTAGGAATAATATTTATTTAAATTCAAAAAGATCTTCTTATTATTTGTAGTTTACCGAAAGTTAATTACTAAACCGTAAAGGAGTGCAATTTACAGATAAATAATAACAATTACGCTTCAATACCAAACAAGGTCAATTATATAAATTTTCACTAACCATATTTCTATATTTAAGCTTAAGTAATGGGGTAGGTTTCTTAGTTGACAGGGAGCTTAGGAAGCTAGTGGTAGAAGTTAGGAGGGTGAACGATAGGCTAGTGGCTATTAAGTTGGTTGTGGGAGGGTCTACTTTAAATGTGATTAGTGTTTATGCACCTCAAGTGGGTTTGGACGAGGAGATTAATAGGCTCTTCTGGGAAGAATTTGATGGGTTGATACGTGGCATTCTGCTCACTGAGAAGTTATTCATAGGAGGGAACTTCAATGGTCACATTGGGGGGACATCTGGGGGGTATGACGGCGTTCATGACGGCTTTGGCTTTGAAGTTAGGAACGGAGGAGGTATTTTGTTATTGGATTGTGCTAAAGCCTTTGATTTGGTGATTGCCAACTCATGTTTTCCGAAAAGGGAGGAGCACTTGGTTACATTTCAGAGTTTGATGGCCAAGACTCAAATTGATTATCTACTCCTTNTGTTGGCTATGGGAGCATAGGAGTTATATGTGGTCCACGACAACAGAGTGTATTAGAGTAGCTGCAAGAAAAGTGTTAAGGGTCTCGACGGGTTTCTCTGGCGGCCACAAAGGTGACTGGTGGTAGAGTGAGGAGGCACAAGAGAAAGTGGAAACCAAGCAAGCGGCGTACTTGATGCTTATAGAGAGCATGGATGAGGAGGCAAAGAGGATGAACAGAGAAGGGTATAGGAGGGCTAAGAAGGAGGCGAAGTTAGTGGTTACTGCGGCTAAGACTACTACATTTGGGCGTTTATATGAAGAACTTGGGGCCAAAGGCCAGGATAAAAAGCTATACATGCTAGCCAAAGTGAGAGAGAGGAAGGCCCGTGATCTGGATCAAGTTAAGTGTATCAAAGATGAAGAAGGTAGAATTTTGATGGAAGATGCTCAGATTAAACGAAGATGGCAGACATATTTCCATAAACTCCTCTGTATAAAAACAAAGGCGATATCCAAAATTGCAATAATTATAGGGGGATTAAGCTGCTAAGTCATACTATGAAAGTTTGGGAGAGGGTGGTTGAAGTGAGGGTGAGGACCAGTGTGTCCATTTTTGAGAACCAGTTCGATTTCATGCCGGGGCATTCGACTATGGAAGCCATTCACATTGTGAGGAGATTGGTGGAGCGGTATAGGGAGTTGAAGAAGCACTTGCACATGGTGTTCATTGACCTAGAGAAAGCATATGACAAAGTCCCGAGAGAGGTGCTCTGGCGATACTTGGAGGCTAAAGGGGTCCTAGTAGCCTACATTACGGTGATTAAGGACATGTATGATGAAACTAAGACTCGGGTTAGGGCAGCGGGAGGAGACTCGGAACACTTTCCGATTATGATGGGATTGCACCAGGGATCGGCTCTTAGTCCATTCCTATTTTCCTTGGCGATGGACACATTGACGAGACACATTCAAGGTGAGGTGCCATGGTGTATGTTATTTACTGATGACATAGTTTTAATTGACGAGACACGGGGTAGTGTTAACGAGAGACTGGAGGTTTGGAGGCAGACCCTAGAGTCTAAGGGTTTCAAGTTGAGCAGGACTAAGAAGGAATACTTGGAGTGCAAGTTCAGCAACGATACCATGAAGGGGATATGGAGGTGAGGCTTGATACATAAGTCATCCCCAAAAGAGGTAGTTTCAAGTATCTTAAATCTATAATATAAGGTAACAGGGAGATTGGTGAAGATGTCACGCATCGTATCAGAGCAGGATGGATGAAGTGGAGGATAGCTTCCGGTGTCTTGTGTGATAAGAATGTGCCGCTGAGACTTAAAGGTAAGTTCTACAAGGTTGTAGTTAGACCAACTATGTTGTATGGAGCAGAGTGTTGGCCGGTCAAAAACTCTCATACCCAGAAGCTAAGTAGTTGAGATGAGGATGTTGGGGTGGATGTGTGGGCATACCCGGTTGGATAAGATTAGGAATGAAGTTATTTGAAAAAAGGTGGGAGTGGCCTCTGTGGAGGAGGCGAGGTTGAGATGGTTCGGGCATGTTAAGAGGAGAAGTATAGAAGCCCCAGTTAGAAGGTGCGAGCGGTTAGCCTTGGTGGGTAGCAGGAGAGGTAGAGGTAGGCCTAAGAAGTCTTGGGGAGAGGTTATTAGGCGGGACATGGCGCAACTGGAGCTGACTGAGGACATGGCCTTAAATAGGAGGGTGTGGAGGTCAAAGATTAGGGTAGAAGGTTCGTAGGTAATCGAGCATTTCTCTTTGTCTTAATCAGTTTGCTAGCATTAGTGTTAGTATGATATCTTTTATCCATAGATGGTTGTTACTACCTAGAGTTTGACTGCATTCTTGGATTCGATCTTATTTCATCTTGCTGTTATTCCTACTTGTTTGCAATTACCTTTTCTTTTTCAGTCGTTCTCTAGCCGAGGGTCTATCGGAAACAACCTCTCTGCTCTTCCAGGGTTAGGGGTAAGACTGCATACATCTTACCCTCCCCAGACCTCACTTGTGAGAAACTACCGGGTTTGTTGTTGCTGTTGTAAGCTTAAGTCATGGCATAAGATCAATAATTTGGGGATTACAGTTGTAGTCGTTATTGTAATTATACTATTGATCAATGAGATGCAGCGCTCCAATCCCACCAAGATATTTTTTCTTATTACTTGATAGATATTCTTCCTATAGTATTTGTTTTGAAATATTAAATTCTATTAAAATAGGATTCCTATTAGGTCTTCTCATTCATTGCTTGCCATCTGTGCATTCATTAGAGGGAATCTGATTTTAGGCCGCCCAACTCTAATTATTCATTTACACGAACTTAATAATTTTCACGTGCTAACCTCACATGGATACCATCTTAATGCCTAATCAAAGTTATTAGAATCAGACCTCTATTCTGATTTTCATTACTATATCTATAGATAATACACAATTTTTTTTTCAGGATAGATTATACAAAGATAATTAGCCTAAGTCCTGCTGATTAATACTATATCAAAAGATTTTATGAATATTCGATTTATCCCATGCTTCAAATGTCGTTAGTACAATTCTAGATTCTTTAAAAAAACATAAATTAAAAGCAGCCACATGTCTACAGTGTTCCTAGAAAGACTAGGATTAGCCATTAAATTAGCTAGACTATCTTTTTTTTTCACAAACAGAAAGTAAGGTCCTGTTGAAATTGTAGTAGTTTTTGTTTTCTTCAAATGTTATACTACAACATTTATGCGGGAAAAAAAAACAATTTTGATCCCTGAATTATTGCATTATTTTGGTTTTGATATTCGTATTACTCGATTAATTAGCATAATTAATCTTTAACTAAACTCTCAACGAAAACATTTAAATGCGCGTAAAAACTTTCATGATTGAAGTGCTGCTTCAATCATTTAGTGTGAATGGAGAAGAGATTGGAGTCTCCACTTTCAACTCCACATATTAGTTGAAGGCGCTTTGGCAGTTGATTTTCCTTGTTTCGCTTTCAATCTCCAGGAAATGAAACTCATTAACCAAATAACGTGTTATGTTCAAACTTCAATTAAGGCGATTTTCAATAACATTAAGCTGAATCTCCAACAAGTGTAATTCCAAATGTTAACTGCTAAATGATCAGGTTAAAAAAAGGCAGCACTATAAGAAATGTGGAGATCGATCAAACTAAGAAGTATTATAATTGATAGAGTGATGTTTGATTTCGGATGAAAGTGCGGGATTTCTCTCCATGATGAACTTTTTTTTTGTTGGGTTTTACACGTCCGGTGTCTGGTACTCACATTGGAGCCTAATTATATCCAGATTCGCACCGTACCGCATAAGGCCTATTTAAGAGTGAAACGTTTCCTAACATGATTTTTTTCATACCCAAGACTCGAATCCAAGACCTCTTATTAAGGGCAAAGGGATTCTATTCATCGCACCACGACCCATATTAGTCATGATCAACTTAATAGTCAGCGTGTATATATGTCATGCTCTGATGGTCGTCCACTCGTCTAAGTAAACATTAACATTATAGTAAACCTTTTATACTAAAAAGTATCTTCAAAAAACAAAACTGCCCTTATACTCCATCCTATTCTTTGTACGAGTATCATGTGTCACGACATGTTATACTGAACAAACACTAAAAGATGCTCCACAGAATAACTTTTTATTGTAAAATATTTTCCACAGAAAATTATTTTCCTCAATATCAAATCCAGCACCACAGCAAAAATTTGGATTATCCTATAAGTACTGAAACATTTGCAAAAAATTGCATTATCCTAAAAATTCTACGATTAGACTAGTCCCATTGGCCATTGGGGCATAACTACGCGGCACAATCCACTCTCTTTCTTGTAGACTTGTAGTTTGGCATTCTGAAATAATAATACATTGTTGATTTTTGGACCTACTATTTGAGTTTTAGGTGCCATTAAGCTTTAAAATGGATGAAGTTGTGAGTATCTTTTTGTCAAGACGAAAAGAAGAAGAAGAAGTATATATTACTTGACTTCAAGTTTTATCTTATTCATTTTAGCAAGTTTTATCTTATTCATTTTAGCAAGTCAAGTTGGATAGATTAGCCGATGGGCTCTATAGTCTAATAACAAATGTGTAGTCTAAACGGTAAGGTCTCAACATTAAACTAATTTACATAACCTATAATAATTTTGTGGTAATTATAGAGATTTTCAATAGAAAAATTGTATAAAAGTGATTTAAAATTGTAATATTTTTGAGAAGTTGGAATATGAGGCTCTAGGTAACTCTTCATGACCATTTAAAGTATAATAGGTTCAATGCTGATTAGAACCTTAAAGGTTGAATTTATAGATTTTAAATTTTGAATATGCCTCTAATTTAAGATAATAAAAAATAGGGGTGTACATGGACCGGGTTGGTTCGGCTTTTATCAAAACCAAACCAAACCAACTATATCGGTTTGGATTGGTTCGGTTTTGGCGGATTTTTTGGATTTTTTATTACTTAAATATTATTTCAATCTTACTTTGTTAAATTTTTATAAGTAAATATATGTTTAGTAAAAACTTAAAATATTGACAAATATATTATCTATTAATTATTCTTATGGGAGAATTTACTTAGTAACACATGATAGTTATTTTTTTAGTCGTCTGACAATAATTTTTCGTTGATGTATACTTTCAAGATTAACCGAATTTAGTAATTAAACATAAAAATTAATATGATACCTAAATAATAATAACAACTTTAAATTCAAAAAAGATATAAGAATTTAATAGATCTTGACATATGAATATGGAAGAACAAAGAGATTGACGCATTTAAGTAACACGTGATAAGATAGTGATCATACAACTCATTATTTAAGATTAATAAATATGAAACGCTTCATATTTTATTAAATACTATATCACGTAAGAGAATCCCAAATATTTCTAGACATTTTAAAGAAAATTATATATATAATCTTAAAAGTGCATATTAAAATTATATATTTATATGTCGGTTTGGTTCGGATTTTTTTACTCAATACCAAACCTAGTCGGGTTTTTTAACCGGTTTGGTTTGATTTTTCAGTTTTGTGCAGTTTTTCGTTCGGTTTGTACATCCCTAGTAAAAAAATATTAATTTNGGAGGGAGTGCATCTTGAATACCAGAAACTAGATTATCATGTGCTCCAATTTGGCATATAATTGCTAACACAAGCCTCCATGTGAGAGTTTGGTTCAATGTTAATTTGCTTTCCTGTCCTTTATATCTCCATGATCGATCATGTAATTAAGTCTAACATAAACGAATAAATAAAACACACTATTTCTGTTATACAGGTCTATTTTGTTTATATTACTTTCATATAAATTAGAAAAGAGAAGCCTCACTAGTTCCATGAACCATCTGCGGCGTTAAATGATTTCTCTAATATTATCTTTTTTAAGGAAGAATAGGACCTTATTAGTTGACCTTCTACTAATGAAGAAAAGCTATGTTATTTTAATAATTTAATCTGAAAAATGATGCATTCATCAGAGCTAATTAATATGCAACATTAAGGGCACCCGCGAACATATTATTTATTTTTGTAATGAAAGTTAATAATTTACTATCATCACTTTTCGTAAATGGGAAAAAACAATTGGAGAAAAATGTGAACGAATAATACTACAAAGTCTCTTATTTATACTTCTGTGTTAATTTAGGGCCATTTGCACAAATAGGCTAGTTCCTGTTACTATTTAAGTTTTGACCCTATTTAGATAAATTTTGCAAAAATAGCTTGTGGGTCAAAAACTCACCAGAAATCTTGATAGGTCGCCATGAGTTAAGGTAGATGGATAAATTTGTCTTGTCACAAGTCCCGACGAATCGTCAAGACTTAAGTACAAATTGTGATATAACTTTAGAACAAATTGTTCACAAGTTCTAAAGAATAGTTACAAGTTTCAATGGAAGAGCAAGACTTGCATTGCCACAACTGTGTTTTAAAAGGCGTGGGGCGTAAGGCGAGGCGTTTTACATATGCTTCAACGGAACGTAAACCCCGAGGCATAGAGCGTAAGCCCCATATGTAT